CGAAAATCTCCGCGAATCGGTCGAGGTGATCGACGAGGCACGCGAGAGGCGCGTCGACCGATCGATCGAAAGATTCAGCCGGGGAACTCAGACAGCCGGGAATCGCTTTGCCAGGGTTATCGCTCGTCGAAAGCCGAGGAACGAACGCGTTATACCCACGAATCGCTTCCAACCGCCCACGGAAGCCTGGCGATTTTCTGAAAAGAGACGAGGGATCCTGTCGAATATGCAGAGGCGAGCGTGTGTGCGTGGCTGGTTGCATCCATATGGGAAGGGCCCTGAGGGCTAGCCGCCTGAAGGCAAGCAACCACACGGATGTCCGGACGGCAGCGGCACGTCACGGAAGCGCTTTCCTCGTCTGTTGGAAGTGCGAAGTGGAAGAATTAAATCGTATTTCAACGTCAATGCCGCGGAAGCAGCCGGTGGAGTGGGACAGCTTTGGGAATACTCAGTCACGAGCGGAAATCCGAACTCCCGTGCAGCCCTGGAACGCAATTTAACTTTTAGTCGGTCGGCTTCCACGCTCCCTGCGATCTCTCTATCTTCTTTCTTTGCGCCCCTTCTCACCACTTCTGTCGCGATATCAGAGGTAAGAAAAACAAGTGGGGATGACGAAGGGAACGGGGATAAAGATCCAACGTATCCGTTGTCACGACTTCCGTCCCTTTCCCTCTTTTCCTCTCCGAATTCCCTTCCTGGATGGGGATGTTTAATATGCAATCACGCAAGGAAGATGGCTCTCCACGATGTATGCGCCTAACCCCTTTATCCCGTCGAATTATAATTCCGTTACGCTTTTCTCCCCCGTTAAAACCTTCACGGCGTGTTGAAGGATCTTAAATCGCGAGTCTGCTTGGACTCTCTGATCCCGATGTTGGAATTACGTAGCAGGATCTTCTAAATGTGTTTGAGAAGGTGGAAGATGTGCGAGGAGGATAAGGAATAAATTTGATATTGTTCGAGGAAGAACGAAATCTGAGGAATTTGATTCTTTGTAATGAATATTTATTTTAGATATTTTGCGTGTTTTTCTACTATACACGTATGTATTCTTCGGATTTTTCTTTAGAATATCAAAATAATTAGCTTGCGTTTCGAGACATACACGGATATCGATATTCCATCATTTTTCCAATATTTCTTAATATTTCTTCTAAATGTACAATTTTCATTTCGGTTCATTGAGATGTATTTTATGTTATGGTTAGCTTTTGAAATAAAGAAAAGAAAATAAAAAAGAAAATAATAGCTATGCTTTTCATAGAAAGTCATTATTTTTTATTTAATAGTTAGTTTATTTCAATAGTACATTCCTATCGGGAAACTGGTTTGCTTGCTCAATTTATAATGGTTTTTATGCTCGAAGAAAATAGAAATAACGAAAATAGATATAACTCTATGAAGTCCTGTATATTCAATTATACAGAAAGTTATTACAATACAAGTTAATTTCGTACAGCCATTGTAAAAAACATACATATGAATCGGAACATAAATAATCCTTTAAAGTTAATAAAAAAATTTACGAACATTTACCTAACAAAGGGATAGAAATCCATCTAAATTGAAAGGAATGAGATGCTTTTTGAAATGAAATATTTGTAAAATATATTTGATATAACAATTATTCATATTAATCATTTCCAACACAATACGAAGAGGATACAAAGAATGAAATTGAAAAAAGAAGCATGGAATGAAATTAAAAAAGAGAGCTTTATAAATACAATCCAATAAAAAACAAAATATTAATTCCTTTAATTATCAATCCGTCTCATTTATAATATATATATATCGTCTCATTTATAAAATATATATATGTATTTATTTTATACTTGAAAAGATTTTCAAGTTTCTTGCTATTCGCGCAATTAAACTTGAAGCATTATTAAATTTCGCGAACGAAAGTTTCCCTCATGCTCAATTAGACTCAGAAGACACGATTATCCACTTCATAATCGTGTTACCAATGATTTCGAAATTCGTAGTTGGATCGAAGACGGAATCGTCGAGGATCTGAAGAGCTTGCACGAGCATGTTCTCAACTTCGCACGTTACACCAACTAAAGTGTACGACGCAAGACGGCTCGAAGACCGTTGTCGACTGTCGGATCTTCGAGATTATAGGTGCTTGTTCCATGAAAATTCTCGTCTCAGTTCCATGGGATTTTAGTATTAACTCGTATCTAACAGAAATGTTCTCTACGAAGAAACGTAGATCCGTTGAAGCCTTTTTTTTTTTTTTTTT